TTTAATGCATTATTTGCAACCCTGGGGTTGAGCATTTTTTCATTCAAAATTCTTGGATTAAAAATAAAATTTCTATTTTTTAATGCAAAAGGTTTGGGGTTAAGAATTAATAATTTAAAATATAACGTTCTGATTTCTAAAACAAATTCTTTTTTTATTTCTTAATTATATGCTTGACATTAAAATTTTTATTTAAAAATTTATTTTTTTTATCCCGTATTTGGTATTTCAAAATAAAAAAAATTTTATTGAAATTTTAATAAATAAATTTTTAAAATTTAAATCATAATTAATTTTTTGACTGAACATACATTCTTGAAATTTAATCAGTCAAAAAATTTATTATAATTTATCTATAAAAAAAAAAAATTAACAATACTCGTAACTTCGGTCAATTAAGTAATACTTGTAATTAATGAATGAAGATTTTCTACACAGAAATTAAATTTGAAAATTTCACCGGAAACAAAGATCTGACATTCTAAGCGTAAACAAAACGGAGCTGTTGAAGCATTTTTGATGTTTCTTCCAGGAACTCTCAATCTATGATAGCAGGCTGCTTAATTGAGTATTTCAACGCCATTAAATTCGATGCTTAAGATTTTTTTTATAAATGAATGTTGTATGTGTACGAAGAATGCGTCTGGCACTTGCTTGTGCCTAATATGTTTACAACCACATTTTTTCACACTTCCGTAAGGTATTACTGCATGCGTATGTGTGTGTGTATGTAAGGTTAAATGCTCAAGAATAAAGAAACATACCTCCTTCACTCTTCTAATACTTGCCATGCCTTCTCAGCGAAGCTTGTTCCTGCTGTTGTGTATATTTACTTTGTTCTTACTGCACACCAAATATGAGCGAGTGCCGAGTGTGGCGAGGATGTGTGAAACGGCACAGCTCATTTGACAGCTAGGTCATTAGGAAGTGTTTATGCGGCGCCGAAAGGTGGTGACTGCGCGCACAAACAACGAATATGGCACGACGCATTCGCGCTGCTAATATACCGTTAGCGATGTATTGACAATGCGTAGGCAATGCCCCGAATGTGTTCATGTATATATGTGTGTGTGTTTGTGTTCATGCCTAGCACTTTGATCACACAGCTTGCGGTTGAAGTAAAATAAACAAAAATTTGTGAATGAAAACATTTTTCTAAATTAGTTTGAAAATAAGCAAAATTTTGTATCAATACATAAATACATATGTATGTACATTCATTTTTCTCATCATTTATAGCATTTATTGTTGACTGTTGACCTCCATGCCTGTAAATAAATGCAAGTGCTATGTCATATTATATTTTCAATGACTTCCTTGAATATCCAAATAGTTAGTTCAGTTTAAAATTATAGCTTACATACACACATACACCTTTAGCAGTGATTGTAACTGTGTGTGTGTGTGCACTATAAAACTGACCGGTTACTTCATTAGGCAATCGAATTGTGAGAACTGACTACAAAAAGTAAATAAATAAAAGTTACAAATAAAACAAATAAGGAAGAGCTAAGTTCGGGTGTAACCGAGTATTTTATACTCTTGCAACTTGCAAAGATCAAAGCCGGGGAAACAACTTTAGTTGTTGGCAATATTAAAAATAAAGCGAAAGGGTTTAACTTCATTGCTCGAAGAAATCGTGAATGGATTCCAATTAAATATGGTATCATATTAACTTATTTGAAAGTCATAGACTCACTAAGTTTTATTACTATATTTTACTTTCCGTCAGCATATGTACATATATTATACTAAAATCATTGAGGGCAGAAAAAGGGGAAGGGCTGATTGCATTAATTCTTGACATTGCTCAGGTATACTTGAGAACTTATTTTCAAACAACTTTATACATATATAAATCTAAACATACATACATATGTATATATGGACTAGTCAAGTCATTTTCACACTATCGGTAGGGGTTTTTATAGGACAGACAATCACTCGGATTTCGACTCGTCCTGAACAATTATATAGAAGTATGCTATATAACCCTATATGTATCGATTTGTTTTAGGTGATACAAACAACCGTTAGTTGAATAAAACTATTATACTTTGTAGCAACATGTTGCAAGAGTATAAAAACTCAAACAAAACTGAATTGAAATGCAAATTAACATCTTAGTTCAAGCGACACTCATTCCTTTGGTTATAATGGATTGAGGCGAAGCGTAGGGGAAGTGAGGTCATTAGTAATTGCAAAATGTAAAGTTTATAGCCAACTAAGCGGCATTTGTGTTATGAAATATATGTATATAAGCATGTATATACGATAATGTGCATATTATACCGATAAGGCAGTTAAATTCCAGCGGTGAAAAATGTTTTCAATACGAAAATTTAGTAACACAAGGTTGCCTGCTGTAATTGTATGTAAATGTTGTGAGCTTTTCTAAAAGAGTTCAAGGGCTAGTCTATTTTACTAAATCGCAATTATATACTATAAATTCATAGTTACAATAAAAAGATAATAGTTTAATTACAAAGCGTTAGCATTCCGAAGCTTCAGCAACAGCGCGCTTAGTTGGTGTCGCCGGTAGGTTTTGGTTTAAAATATTTCTAATCTCAAACGCTATACACTTATGAGCAAATTTAACCCGTACTTTCAAGCTCATTGTTCAATTTTTCCATGGCAAAAATCGCAGTCTAATTTTTGCGGTCGTAAACAAACATCAATATACCAATCGAGAAAAAAATATTTATTGATTCGATTTGCGCGCGCAATTCATATGTACCAGGCTGGGTCAAATTTGATCTTAAGTGTATATCAATGTAAAACTACTTCTACTGTGCTTTAAAAACTTCTCTCCGCTTCCCCTAAAGTGATAAAAACTAGTTTCTTTTTTTCTTAACTTTTTTAGTGGATTAATAATCGTTTCTACGAAGAGCTTTCTATTTCAAGCAAGTCTACTCGTATAGTCGAGTAATCCCAATTACTGGTCTAATTTAATTAAATATTTGTCATTTGTACCAGCTTGAGTTGGCATTCAATTTGACAGCTTTAGAAGCTGTTGCTGGTATCTAGAGTCTCCCAATAGATTGTACTTATATTTAGACAACTCGATTATAGACTGTATAATTAAAACATTAGTCGAACATTTCTTTAATTCACGCGCTGAAAACGTGTTCCCAGAACTTTGGTGTGTAGCTCAGATGTAGACTGCAGCAAAATATATCATTATAGCGGGTATGAGTCATAATTTCACTAAAATCGTCAATCAGGTTTAAACTTGTTGAAGACTGTGACGTGAGAACTAGCACTGGTTACTTCTGAGATCTCTATTTCATCATTTGCTAAACTGCTTGAAACCACGCTGAAGATTGAAGCTACGGACGTAGAGCTATGAATTATTGGCAAGTCATAGAGTGTCATACTTGACTTCATTGGCAGATCATTTGGCTGCAGTATATTTGTTGTGGACTCCAGTAAATTTGAAGTTTACATTTATATGTATATACAAAAATTAAATAATATCTAATTACCTTAAGCAACAAACAGCAAATCAGTTGACTGAATATACATACAAAGCCCAAATAAGCTTTTAATACGTGCTATATACATATGTACATGTATATGTGCCATTTACACTCAATGAATGAATGGACATCATGTAAGATTGACTTATTGTCACTCGAGACATAAAGCCGGCTGCCGTTTCACTAGCGCAATACAGTCCAGTGCTAAGTGAATTTTTGAATGCGAACCCAAGTTAATGGCTGCAGCGGCATTTAAAATAATTATCACAACTTTGCAACAACAAATAAGCAAATTTTGTAAATCCACTAATTAGTAATGGGAAATACAAGGAAAACCCACGTACTTATACCTATAAACATAGCTCAACGCGAACGGGCATAACTTTGAAGTGTGCTCGAGCTTGTCGCCTAAATTGCCAGCTTCACTTATCTCGTTTTTGGCAAACGTCTAATTGTTTAAATATCACGAGAAATACCAATTATAAAACACACATACACATACATACATATGTACAGGTAAACAATGAACAGCACTTTAAATCTTGTGACATTGCTAGCGCATTGATGACGCAGCCGCTGACGCAAGCAACTACTAATAGCGTCGCCGCTACAACAGCGCGAGGGTTCGCCGAACGAGCAGACCCGCAAGCCATGCCGAAATGTCGACGCAGTGCTCAGTAGTACAAATGCGAGCAACTACCGCGGTCAACCTGCTCTTCATTTGGCTATTCAATTGTCGCAAGTAAACCCAAATTGCGTAGTCAAGGTCACGGCCATATACGCAACACTTGGCGAGTTTGCCAATTGTGGGCGCTCGCCTTGCAACCGTGCCTGTGTCTGTGACTCTGAGCGTGTGCTTGTGTGTGTGTTTGCGTGGCAGCTGCATGCTGCGGCGATAATTGTTAATTATATTTGTAATTTGAAAGACATCTATTACAGTTCTATGGACATTGAACTCACACGCAATACGCCACAAGCTGTGCGGTCAATTTGTTGAATAAAAATTAAGAAACAAGTTCATTGAAGTGACTTTGGCGGCTGTTTTCATTTGATTAGTGAATATTGTGGCATAGGCGCAATGTTTAATGACAGCTATTGTTGACAGATTGACTTGCAATCTGAGTGAGTGAATTGAGAGTAAGAGAGAGATGGCATAAGTGCGTTCTCATATGACTGTGACTATGCAGAATTCTATACAACTTTTTTAATCTACTGACCTTTAAAACTAAAGAAGATCTGTGCAGATCTGCGTAAGAATTATATAAAACAGCAATCTATTAGAAAATATTATATTTTCTGGATATTGCATAAAATAATTTATAGGTAGAAATAGCAGTGAAAATATTTATTTTGGAATTTCAATGAAAATTTTCACCGAACAATTGCAATCAGTTTCATGTACTCCCGTTATTATATTGTCGTTGTTCAGTTTCAATTCGTTACGTTTTTCAATCGTTTTGCAAATGCGCCGCGTCATGTTCGTTGAACGCATTCAATTTCATTGCACATTTTTTCATATAGAGTTTCATAATTGAAAGTGGCAGCCCGTCAGCAGTAGATACCAATACAACAGCCCCAACAATAAAGCGAGCAACTTGCAACAACGACGAAGACGACGACAGCCAAATTGACTTTGGCAGGAGCAACGGCAGTCAAGAGTCATTGCGGCGTCAGCAAGCGCGTCTGCCACGACCCACACGTACCTCACCGCCACCCCCCAAACCACCCAAACCTCTAAAGCTGACAAAGTGCCACAGCAGTGAGCATCCGTTGCAACAGTTGCTACACAATTCAGCGATTTGCAAGCAGCACGAAATCAACCAAATAAATCACGTGCTGCTACAACAACAACAACAGCAACAGCAAAGCAGACATCAGCATCATCATCATCATCAACATCTTCACAAGCATAGTCATAGCCATCATCAGCATCAGCATCAACATCTGGCGCAGCAATCACAAACTCAGAGTGAACTTACTTTACAACAAGAGCAGCTGCAACAACAACAACAACAGCTAGTGGAACCAACTGTTAGCGCTAGTTTAATGCCTTCGCTGGATTACAGTGTGCCGCCACCGCTACCGCCAAAACCGAAAACTTTGCTACACATCAAAACACAACAGCAGCAGCAACAACAAGCACAACTGTTGCAAAAACAACAACTGTTGCAGCAACAATTGCAAAAGCAGCTGCAACAACAGCTTAAACATGTGTTAAAACCGCAGCAGTTGCCTACGTTAGATCAGCAGCAGCAACAACAACAACAACAACAAGAATCACATTCCATTGACGCAAAATATCAAGCACCAAAATCGCCCAAACCACCAGCATCTCCACGTACACCAAAATCGCCACAATCATACCCCCCCGCCCCACATGAATCGCCAAGCGTTAAGAAAGATGCTGTGAAAACCCACACATTACAATTCCATCATTTTCGCCATCACAAGTCGGCGCCCACATTTGATCTCTTCTTCAAATCGCCCACAAATTCATCATGTACCACGCCGCTCTCGAAGTCACGCCGCAATAGTTCATATCATTCGTACGATGACCTCGACGCCACGAGCGCCGAGAAGAAAGTGGTGTCCAGTTTGAAATATTTGTGTGCCTGCACGGGCGCCACCTTGCGCAATCTCTCGAAGAAAACAAAAGATTTGCATGCGAAAAATTACTGTTACACGAAGGTAAATTAACGCAGAATATTTGATTTAATAATGACGAAGAACTTTCCAAGCTGTGCTGTGGTTACCGAATGCAGTCATTTTAACAGCTTTTAATTGATTGAGACAGAAGATTTGTAGCAGCACTTTTTCTTGTAGAAAATATGACAAGCAATAACTTATTTATTTGGGGCTAGGGTAGGTTTTCAATAGCTTTTATCCATTTTAGACACACAGTTGCACTGTTAGGAGAAAAACACGCTCACTCAATTTCATTAAGATAACTCACGTATTGACCGATATATGCACTGACTTTCAGCCCGAAGTTCGAAAATTTTTTTATTAGGTATATGAGAACTAAAGGAATTATTGATCCGACTTAATCCTTTCCCGACATACAGGCATACAATTATCAGAAAAGGTTTCTCGCCGAATTTCTATAACATAAGTATCTCACAGATTGAGCTATAGGGTTCGCAATAGGAACTGGGGTCCTTATATTCGGTATCCAGGAGCTTGAATACTTTTGGTTCGATTTGAACAATTTTTGGTCGAAGGTTGTATAATTCAAGGACACTATTCGTACAAAGTTGTATCCCGTTATACTCACTAGTGCTTGATTTGTATACTGGAAAGTGAAAAAATCAGATTGAATTTAAAACTATGTTTTATAAGGGAAGTAGGCGTAGGTGTAGTTCCATTTCACCCATTTTCGCATTGTAACATAAATATATCAGAATAATATTACCTACCGAATTTGGTTCAGAGATATGGGGTTTCACCTAAATGTGGACGGTGCCACTCTTGTACCAACTTTGCACCATCTCTGGTGTACGATTTTATGCCTCTGACGCATTTACTTACCACTTTATCTTGAAGAAAATATGCCAAGCAGTAACGAAATATTAATGAAGATGCCAAAAAGCTTATTTTTTCGAAAATACCTTACTCTTGCCTAATCAACGAGAAAGTTGTTGCATCACGCCTTTCATTAACATTTCCGAGAGCTTTGAAAGCAAAATTATGCGAAATAAAAGTGTAAATAAATTCAAAAAACATCAAACGTTCAAAACCTCATGAAGTAGCATGTATATATGCTTAGACATAATTTATAATAAGGAATTCAATAAATTTATTTTATTTCCATAAAATATTGCTTTACTCGTATTTTTGCATTCCTCAGTTAAGTTTATTGCATAAATTGGCAAATTGTTTACTTTTGTTCAAATTATCGACAGTTTTATTTATGATTTTCGTAAAAGCAAAGACTTCTCGGTTTCTCGTACAATATGTAAAGCGGTAATTTGTACGCAATGTGCCGTTCTAAACCGGTTTATCGTAGAACCCTTTGTTCAGTGCGAGTGCAGTTGTCAATAAGTCGTCGAGAAAATTCGCCTCTTTGTTCCATACTTAAAATTTGAATACAAACGTACATGCATATGTATATTTGTAAGCGAGATGTTTCATGCGAAGTTTGGTAGTAGAACTCTTTGATGCTGGAAACAGGCACCGACGCAAAACCGTAAAACGAATCAGCTAATACGACCTATCGTATGAGAGCGCCATGTAACTGAACTGCGGTGCAGAGTCCGCTTCTACCGTCCGCTTCTGCAGACCGTACGGTAGGATATCCGCGAAAATTGGATTTTTCCCGTAGAAAGGAGTCAGCTGATTGCTTTCGTGCAACGCAGGGCCAGTCTCGATATTTTGTAGTAATTAAAAAATAAACTTGAATATATTTGAAGTATACTTACTTAAAATCATTGATTTTAGTTTGGATCTTTTTCATTATGCAAAATTATAACTAAAAAACTAAATGTGTGCAAAATCATGTATATATATAACGGAAGGACGTAACGTCAGTGACTATTTCCAGCATGAGAGTGAGCGCTAAAAAGATTTTAAGACATCTATAAAGTGCTTAGACAAGCTGGATGTTTGTTGGCTGTCATTAAATGCGTTGAAGCGAACTCATAGCGATAAAAATTTAAGATTAGACTTTTTTTTCGTTTCACTTCACTTCTGACAGTGAAAAACTTAATGACCGAAATCGAACAACCATTTTGCAAACAAGCATATTTCACAATACCTACACACTTAATATTGGTGGAAAAAAAATTCGCAGTAATCACATGTTTTATTTTTAAATACCAAAATATATACAAACAAACATATTTGTGTGTATAAAGTTATATACATACATATACATATATGTATATATATATATATTTATTTTAGCAATAGATAGCACATTAGACAAATTGACGCGCTGACAACTTTATGTGATTTGCATATTTTCGATTATTTTTTTCGTTTCTACAATTTGGTTGAAAAGTTTCTGCGCTCGAAATGAAAAAATACAGTTTTCGGTACGAAATATATTTCGTTATTCAATATAATCACCCTTAATACCAATACCCAATACACTTATTCCAATAACCCTCCAATAATTTTATGCCAACCCTGTAATGACTTTCCGGAAGCTCTGCAAAAGTCTCGTCGCTAATAGCTTCTTCAGAGCTTTCCACAAAGGAATTGTTTCAGGTTTCTGAAGAGGTAGTAGTCGCTGAGAGCCAAATCTGGTGAATACGGTGTATGCTCAAGCAATTTTTACTTTAATTGGTTGAATTTTGTCATTGTTAAAACACTTTTGTGAGCAGTTGCATTGTCTTTATAAAATTTATCTTTTTGTGCTGCAAGCCAGATCTTTTCTCCCGCATTTTTTCATTCAGCTGCTCCAAAAGGCTGCTATAATACTTAGAGTTGATTGTTTTACCTTTACCAACTTGAGGGAAATTTTTTTTAAGCTAGTAGTGCTATTTCTTGGTGAGAGCAGAAACTTTTCAACCAACCTGTGTATCGACTTTTATTGTTTGTCCTTATTTTTAGGGTAACATTGAAAAGGCGTTTGGTTTTTTGCTTCTAATTTTTTATAGACGCTTCTTTCTGTGGCTATTTATATAAACACTCTCTGCGACGCACAAGCGAAATGTCGAACTGTCAAAGCTAATAGAGGGAAAAGTCGTCACGCGTGGGCGTTAGAGTGGGGATGGACAGGCGTCAAACAGCTGGGTCAGGGATTGTTTATGTTTTATTTGCAATATTGTTTATCGTACAACGTGTTATTATTTCAAGCAGAGTTGTTTGTTTGTACGTAGGTATGCGCGATTAATCGTCATTGTTGATAACGCTGAGATAAGGCAGCGAAATGTGTTGCTATGCATTCACCGAATTTGAGCTTTCATTGAGCTTTTCAATCCAAAATGTAAAATTAAATAATATTGCTGAAAGTAAAAATTATACAAATGTAAATACACTAAGGTAGATCAATGCTTATGCAAATAATACTTTTGATGATAACATAAGTTAGCTCAAGTCAAGTTTGATTTCCAAACTTTTAGAATCGTTTCACCAAAATAGCAGCAACGTTTTTTTTATTAGTTCTGCTTTGGAAGAGATCATTCCACAAAGGGAAATAATAGATTTCACACTATTTTTCATATATTTTGTTGTTATGATATTTGTAAGACATACATTTTTGGAGTCACTAGAACTCTAAAGAATTGCAATAATTGTGGACCTTAGGCTTCGGATTTTATAGTTTGCTTTTTTTACATTTTTGCTTTACACGTCTTTCGTTTTTAGTTTGAGGTCTAATAATGACAGATCAACAAATATTTTGCACACTTTTTCTAATAAAACAAAAAACAGCAAATTATACATACCCTAATGCGCATATGAGTCAGTAAGTTAGTAGCGACAACCGCATTATTTTTAACCGCAGAAAGCATTAATTAAAAATTATTGTGCATACACTTGATATATGCATTCTCAAAAAGATCAAAGAAATTCTTTCTTCAAAATTATGTTTATATTTTTAACGGATACCACCTCATTTGCAGTCGGCTTACCTTAAAATAATTTGCCTTGGAAACCAATAAATTGGCGAATAATTGTGCTAATTGCACATATATTCGAAAACACAGCTAAGTGTCTAAATAATATGGAAATATGGCCCAAACACTGCTTAAATTGAAGCATCTCATAAACTTTTGGAAAATTGCCTCAAAAAATTAAGAAAAAAGTAGAAAAAAGTTATAAATAAAGAAAATGTGTCTTTATGTACAAAGAAAAATATTCATAGTTTTGTTGTTATTGTTTTTTGATTCGTTTTACAAGTATGTTTGTGGATATTTCAACACAATTAACGGTACTTAATCTTGAATACGAATTTTTAAGTGCACAATTAGTGAAAAATCTTTCAAGAGCGGCGTGCCAAACATTTAGCAATTACACATGCGCACCCACACATGCATACATACACATACTTGTATTAAATAAATATTTATATGCAAACAAGCCATAAAATATAAAATTACCAAAAAACAAAAAACAATAAGGAAGGGCTAACTTCGGGTGTAACCGCCGGAAAAACTTTATATAAAAATTGACCTAATTTTATCTATTTGCGGCATTACTACATATTATTAACAACAACAGATGCTCTCTGAGTTTTATTAAGAACACTCAGGCAGTCACCCGGATTTCAACTCGTCTCTTCATCCTGATCCTGTATATATTACCCTATTTTTATGTCTAACTCGATTAGTTTTAGGTGATACAAACAACCGTTAGGTGAACAAAACTATTATACTCTGTAGCAACAGGTTGCGAGAGTATAAAAACAAGCGTCCGCGAATTTCGTAAAAAAAAGCAAATACTGTATTATCTTCCGACACGGGCGTGCGCCCTCGCAATCCTCAATCAGTTGAGCAAACCAAACGATTTCTGTGGAATTGCGAAAATTGTATGTGGAAAACCGGCAAATTTGTAAACAAACTGCCAGCGAGTGTGCCTTAGCGATCGGTTTTCTTGGGGCAGAAATGAAAATTAAATGCTGGCCGTGCGTTCATAATCATAATAAGTAACATATGTCTGCAGCAGGCTATTTACAAAAACAAAAATCATATACATAAATAAATGATTGAAAAGTTGCTTGGTGGGCGGTGGCTACAATAAAAGTAAAGCGATTGCCAAATATTTTGCTCTGGGTGCCAATCAGCCTTTGTCGTGAAAAGCGGAAAAGCCACTGTACCCCACGCTGGCGGTTTCTCATTTTATGAGAATATTAAATAGCTGTTTGATACATACAATGTAGAATAGCTTGATGCACAGGCTTTTATTTTTTATTTTTTATTTTATAGTAGGGGGAAGCATCGAAAGCCGAAGTGCGGAACTTTAATCCGCTAAACCTAACCTACTCCAATCTCATATCTCTCCCACGGAACCACCGGATTAAATATTACTTCATGGGAGAGAAAAGGACATTTAAGCTTCCTCTACCGTACGGACTGACTGACTCCTAATCTGCTGTAAGTATCTCAGTTTTGTCATAATTAGAGCTGACGCTTCGCTGACAGCTTTCCATTTATCAGAGGACTGATACATACATAAGTATGTGCTGTCAAGGTTTCCACCGTTAGACTACCGAGTGTAGATTTTAACTTTTCCCCAATATTTAAAAAACGGGGGCACTGAAAAAATGCGTGTTCAGAGTCTTCTATGCACTCTGTATATTTGCGGCAATTAAAACAGTGCTGTTAAGCCCGAACCTTTTCTGATTTCTCAGGTTTCGGGGCTTAGCACTGTTTTTGGTTGAAATTCCAAAAACTTTTCTTTAAATACAACGGGAATTTGGATATGAGTACGTATGCTCGAATTCAATGGGTCTGGGAAGCCTAAATTAGCGTCAATTTAAAAATTAAAAAACAACGAAAAAACTCTTTAGATTTACAACAAAAAAAAAATTAATAATAATAATAAAATTTGCATGCACTCGGGTTCGCGCAGCCACGGGATCGGTTGCTAATATGAGCCGCCCTCGTGCCTGCAATGATACACACATACTCGCCGCGCTATTATGTAAGAATAATTGAATGAACTTGCTTTGCCACTAGCATTATAAACTATTTTAGATGGTCGCTTTATTGTTGTTGCGCTGATACATAATTGAATTCATGACCAACACTGCAACTGCTGTCAGTGAAAGCGTTCAATTTAGTTTCAATTAAAGCGCGAGTCGCGTACCAGGCATACGGCGCTACCAGCTAATGACCCACAGGGGTGGGCGGCTGCTGCGGCTCTACGTAAATGAGCCACACATATGTACATGTGAATGCATGAGTGTGTGTGTGTGTTTGTGTGTATGAGGGGCATAAAACGACTGTGTTGCATATGCAATTCATGTAATTATGTGGAAAATGCTGTGTTTTTTAATTTAATTTGCCATGTCGAGCATTTGCATATATAGCAAGGCATTGGCACTAGTCGGCTACACACATATTCATGGAGGCATTGCTGCGGTACACTGCTATTGTTGAACGTGCTTTTCAATTAATGTTTCAGCGCATTTAAATTTTTATGTGTGTGTGTGTCTGTAACTATGAGATTTAAATTTTTACGTCTAAAACATATATATATATACATACATATATATAAATATATTGCTCGATTATATATATGTAACTGTGCTTGTATGTGTAATTAGTATGAGTCTTTCCTTGTAATTCGAATTCATTCAGCGGATGTTTGCAATTCATAATTTCGCTCCACTCACTTTTTAATAAACAATTTGATATTATGCAAAGGCATTTTGCAAATATGAGTGCGTCGATCTGGCAGCCAATTCTGGCATTTGTTTACAGTGGAAGTACATTTCCACATTTCATTCAACTATTTTCCATGAGTGTCTTCAGTGGCCTGTTTATGGCAACCGCCATGAATTTCGTAAATATATATTTATTTTAATTAACAACCAAAGCGGTGAAATGGCGTATAGCTTCCTTTTGTAATTAAAATAAAATCTGCTAATTTCCGTTTAATATAAAATCAATCATTTATTGAAAACTTTTAAATAGATGCGAGAGAAAGTTTTTTCTGCCATCAATTATTGCAATTAATATCGACTGATAGGATCGGCGGTGAAAGCCAATTGGCTTACAGTAAATATATTGATTATATCAGCAAATGAATTCGACACTTTCATTGCGCATAAAATTTGTATTTCGTTTAATATTTATTTATTTATTATATAACATCTTATAATACTTTTTGTGAAACACCTGCCTATTTTCCAAGCTTTAACTCGCCTAACGGATTTTTAGTTGTTATTTCAAGTCAGAGGGGGTTTGATATGCTTAAGAACTGTTAAAATTATAAAATATCTTTATTACATTATAAAAGAAAAAATTCTTATTTTGTGAGAATGGCTGCATCAATGTGTGTTTTGGCGAAAATGCTCAAAAGCAATCAGAATAATATACATATGTAACATACCTCGCTGGCAGTTTCAAGTGTTTCTCAGAGAACCAATTTCGCTAACAACTTCGTGCGCCATGATAATTGTCATATTATCTAGACTTTAGAAACTTTTTCTTGAATTGTAGTACTTTTAACTTGAATACTCTACCTGTTTAGTCTTTACTTACATAACGGCTCTGAAACACTTTTGATTTAAGCTGGCTATAATATTTACGACATCCATGTTGGTATTTTTGTTTATAGCTTCAGTAGTATGCCTCAGTAACATATATTTCTATAATTAGCATATATCACTTTTTCATCATCTAACGATTTGGTCATGGATTTAGTGATTTATTATCTCGGTCAAAAGTTTGCATTGCTACTTGCTTAACGCTAAAGTGACGTCACAAGATATTTTTCAACAAAGTTTTCGCGCTCCAATTATTTTATGTTGGATATAAGACACTTCATGTTAGTACAACAGTATTCAAATGGCTTTAGCATCTTAAAAGCCCTTCAAGTGCCCAATTCTCTTTATAACACCACTAATTAAGGATCACTCAATAACTCGATTTTGCTGCTAAATTTTATTATACCTATAACAGGGGAATAAATTAATTAAAGCGTTTTGGCCATAAGAAATCGTAGACATGTCATAGAAACTTTTGACAATTAATCAGACAAGCAAGCTAATTAGAAAATATACTTTGTGCAATATTTGTTTTCAAACTAGGCACGTAGCGCTCTACTCAATTTTTCTACCCGTTCACTTTTTTCATTTACTCGAAAAACATTCAACCGCCACAAAATCGATTTATTGTGAGCATATCGAAAACAAACATCTATTAGAGTCATAGAACCTACGTACATACCCACATATGTATATATAAGCATTTACTTTTGTATGCATACACTATATGTATGCATATATGTATTATCGATTGTGTGCCTCGTCAAAAACTAGCTGCTTTCATATACTAACATGCCACCGATAATTGAATGTTTTAATAAAATTTCATTTTCCATTTTGATTTATGTGCCATTGCAGCCCACGTGGCGTCTCTGGGGTGAGGAGCACGAAAAGAATGCCATTTTCACAGTCTACCTTAAGAAGGTGCGCTACCATCGACCAACGCCATCGGCGAATAATGTAAGTATGAGTACGCCAAGTGACGTGCTGTTGCGGCAGGCCGCCTAACCGACAGTCAGTCAAAGCTACGAAGCTTTGTAATTAAGTTTGTTTGCCCAAAAGGCAATTTCACCTTGACTAACCCAATTGGAAATGCATTAATTAATTTTCTTGTTTTTTACATAACGACACACTTACACTCTTGTGCGACGTTGTAGGATTCGGACGATGAAATTAGTCACCTTGAATGGGAAACGGTGCGAGTGCGCTTCGTGAAGGCGGCCACTTTGGCGCGGTTAGTCGAGGCGTTAGCCACAGATGATGGTGAATTGGAGTCGACTTTCATCAATGTGTTCCTCTCCACTTATCGCACTTTCTCCACACCCAAAGAGGTGCTCAATCTGCTCATACGACGCTACGACACACTCAATGACAAGCATCTGCAAGAGATCGAAGAGCACCAACAACTTGAGGATGTGAACTACGACCCAGCGGCATCCATACATGAACAACATAAAAAAACACTAGTCTCGGCATTGCATGTGTGGTTGGATGGATTTCCGGAGGACTGGAATGAGGATAGCCTGCGGCAAATATTGACATTCGCATCCAAGCGTTTACCGCGCTCAGAGTTGCATTTGAAGGTGCTGCATCGACTGGAGCGCATACTGCGTCAGCAGGTGTATGGCGAAAGTAGTGTGCCTCCATGGCTGGCGAGTGGCGTGGGTGCAAATGCCAACGGTGGTGGCATGAATATGAGCATGAGCGTGGGTTTGCTGCCGCAACAATACAACGCTGAGTTCACAGAACAATTTGCGGGACTGTGTTTGGCACCGGCGTTTCGTGGACCCACGCATTTTCTGCAAGCATTTCGCTTCCCGCATGTACCGGTACGTCATTTTGCCGAACAGCTGACACGCATGGACTCGGAACTATTCAAGCGCTTGATACCACATCAATGCCTAGGTGCAACATGGGCGCGACGGGACAAAAGTGGCTCTGAAACGGTGGTGGCTACCATAAATCAATTTAATGCTGTGCTTTTTAGAGTTATTTCTAGCATACTGATAGAGCCCAGACTCAAACCACAGGTGGGTTTCTATAGTCATAATATTTTACATCATCTTCGTACGTTGCGTATATAATTGAATTGTTTTTTCATTTCAGGAGCGTGCTTTAAATATAGCGACGTGGATTGACATTGCGCAAGAGTTGCGTTTGCTGAAGAATTTCTCTTCGCTGAAAGCGATTATATCGGGACTGCAATCAAATCCTATTTACAGACTTTCAAAAATATGGGCCGTGCTTCCCAAAGAAAAGGTGAGACTTATGAAGCATTTTTTCCACATCCATAGAGTCATTTGAACAAATCTAAATGTCGTTTTCAGATGGAAATTTTCAGTGAACTTGCCAGAATATTTTCGGAGGACAACAACGCTTGGGCGCAGCGCGAAGTACTCATGCGTGAGGGCACTGCGAAATTCGCCGACACGGTGGGTGAGCACGATCGCCATCTGCAGAAGATCATACAGAAACAAGTGAGTGTACATTGCGAAACAGTATCGACCCAAACGGTGCAACTGACCTACACTGCGAACAACAGACACACCCTCATTTAGCTATGCATTAGCACACACTACTAATTATTTCTACTTTCGTTCCATGTCACAGAGCACGCAGACGTCGCATGGCACCATACCTTACCTGGGCACCTTCCTCACCGACTTAACAATGATACACGCCGCCATACCGGACACGATAGGCGAACACCAGCTCATCAATTTCGACAAGAAACGCAAAGAGTTTGAAGTGCTGGCGCAAATCAAATTGCTACAGGGTGCCGCCAATACGTATAACCTGCGTGAAGACACCAACTTCGATCGCTGGTTTGCGTCAGTGCTAGTGCTGGATGAGCGTGAGGCGCATGTACTCTCCTGTCAACTCGAGTCGCCACCGCCGGCACCACGCAAATCAACCGCATCGACGAATACATCGCTAACGAACACGACGATCTCCTCGAATGGTCACCGCAAGACCGATTCGATAGCTTCGAACTCAAGCAGCGGTGCTGGTTCCCAATTCTACTGTGAATTGAACAACAGCTATAGTTCGCACTACAGTTCGCGTCACAATTCACTCGATCGTGACGCACAGGCGCCGAACGCATCGATCTTGTCGGCCTCCAGCAGCGTATCGAATCTATCCATAGACTCGAGCAACTCGGGCGGACAGAAATCTAATACGAAAATGACGCACTCACACTCGACAAACGGTGTGCGCGGCAGTGCTGGCAGTGGAAACAACAATACACAGCTGAATGTCGGCTCGCCTATCATCAACGCCCAGCTGGTGCAATCGCCAGGCACCAAGACCAATAATGCGCCCGATTTTTACATTATACGCGTGACGTACGAAACGGAAAACGTCGAGTTGGATGGCATTGTGCTATACAAGAGCATAATGTTGGGCAACAACGAGCGCACACCGCACGTCATACGAAATGCGATGATGAAGCTCGGTCTCGAGGCTGATCCCGACGACTATACGCTCGCACAGGTACTGCCCGACAAGGAGTTGGTGATGCCAAGAAACGCGAACGTCTACTACGCGGTGAATACGACCTACAATTTGAATTTCATCCTGCGGCCGAAAAAGAAAGATGGCGCCAGCAACGGTAGCTAGTGCATAGGGTTGTCGGTGCATGTGCAGTTCCGTACGTTGTTCGTGCTTCTGGTGCTTTAAGCGAGCGGCGTTGACGCGTGGTGACTTATGCTACACAACTACAACTATAACAAAGGATTTATAACTATATTTACATGTAAAAATACATATATTTCATACTCATAAAGATGTTTTTCCATTTTGGAAACGTTTTATAATTTATGTAATCTCAAATAATGGACAAATAATTAGTGTAAATAATTGCTGTATTTTAGTTTAATTTTTAAATATTTATATGTATGTATTTTTTTGTAATCATATGCTATGTATGTATATAACTGTAAGTTCATAATTAATTTAATTAGTTTATATAATTTTTATATGTATTTTTTTGTAATATTCGAAATTTCGCTTATGTCTGCGCGTTTATAATTAAATAATTTTATAAATTTGTGAAAAGCTAAAATATTTATTTATTTTGTATGTTAAATGTATAAGTTTTATTGCTTTAAAAATGCTTTAAAGAGAAAAAACCAATAACTGCAAAATACTTGTAAAGAGAAAATGTGAAGATAAACGGAAAGTTAAAACAATAATTGTAATTAAAGTCGTATTTTAATTAAGATTTAAATGTATAACAATTATTTAAAGTGAGTTCAGCATGAAAGTCGCTGTGTTATGGAACCTTTTGAAGCAATGTTTAATTTAAAAATAGTTTAAAGGGGTTCAAATAAATTTTTTTTTATAAACAAAAGCACAATTTTTTTTATTAAAAGCGAAGGTTGGTGACAAAGAAGACATGCTGAGCAAGAGTAGGCATCTAAAAGAATTGCATAAATAAATTGTGGAAAAAAATTACTGCCATCTAATGGAAATTATAGCGTTTAAGCCAATGATCTTAAAAATTTGCTTTTTCAGCTAATAAAAAGATTTTTTTAATTTTCAAACTACATTAAATGGTCGAAAATTTCATATTAAAATTTTGTACTGAACTTTTACCTAATAGTAAAAGCTTTATACCCTTGTCGATTATACAAGAGAACTAGAGAACAGTATCGAAAGCAGAGAATGGAATTTTAAACTAAAATGTAAATTCAAGACCCACAGAGCGAATGCATATCTCGCTACACCTAAAATCTTTCTTATATTTTTTTAAATCTCGCACTGTGCAACAATAAGTTTCGTAAGTTTTTTTTTAATAAATTTATTGTTTTTTATTTATATAATGGTCAATGAAAATTAATTCAAGGGAATTCTTCGAACTGTGAGAAAGTTAGAAGAGTCATTACTACGACAGTCGGATTTGTAGTTGGTCAAGGGTTGACAACTTGGCAACATTAGAAGAATTAGTTTCTAATATCAAGCATACAGCTAGAAGCGATAAACGATCACAATAACGAGGAGATCAGACACTAACAACAAGTAAGCACGCTAACAACTTCATCACGCATATTTAGGCATGCTTCCATAAAAAACCTGTATATCCTTGCAAACCCGTACAAATGTATTTCTATAGACATACATTGAGTTACATAGCTGTATATATACTCTCTTCCTGCATAAACATTCGTGGAGTTAGCGCAGCCAACACATGTTTTTAACGAGTACTCGCTCCGCCATTTATAGAGACGAGCAATTAGGGCATTTTGCCAACGGTAACACGCGTACACAGTTTTGGCTTTATTTTTATTTTTGTCACTGATTGGCCGCTGGCAATGCTGGCAACACAAAAGTTGGCCACAAATTGCATGCATTCTCATTTATTTATTACGATCGTTAACTGGTCGTTTTGAGAGCGAAAGCTGTGTATATTAAGCAACAAGGTTTATGTGTGTGCGTGCAATGTTCATAAAATTAGCAGCTGACCATAGAATGTATGTGGCAATTAGGTTAAAATAAAAAAATAAAAATTCGAAAATAATAATTAGTGCAAAAAAGCTGTTTAATAAAGATAATGCATTACAGTTACGCAATATTGTGCTTTTCAAGTACAAGAAATGTATTGTACAGTATATATATTAAGAAATTGTTGGAATAAATAATTGATAACGGTACTTGAAATAGTTGTGTTTCAAATTATAGAAGAACCAAGTTAAAGAATAATTTAGAAAAAGTTTTATATTATTTTCCGCGTAACATTAGTGCACTTAAAAATGTTGCTTACATTTAGGCGCAATTATTTCAATTTTGTTGCAGAAAGAGTCGCCGAATAAGCGAAAGTATAATTTTTTACAGCAATATAATTCGCCTTACAATTTTAATTTTACATAACTTAGAACTCAATAAATCATGCAAGGTATTTCTCACGGAAGTAATCCGAACTGAACAATACTGTTAATTTCTTAAATTCCAACATCAACAAATTAAGCGCTTTTTGAATAAATAACGAAATTCGAGAGTGATCACCACAGAAACTCAGTTTTTTTATTAAAATTAGACATCTCAAAATTAAATTAACTTCTTTGTTTGCAAAAATTACTCATCCCCCTTAACAACACACCCTCTGAAGTTTTGATGTGTAATTTCAAAGTTCGATTTACGAAATTAGCAGTGAAATTTGTTTACAAACATTCTTAAAGTTCTTAGTTACCAAATAAACTTGGCTAACTACGTAATAACTGAAGGAATTTGAAAATGTTGTTGTATTATGGTATGCATGTATGTAAATATATGAGTAGCATGCTTCGTTGCCAGTAAACACTTGCAGTTAAGGCTATTGTAATGGCGTTACGAAGGTTAAGGTGATTCACTCACGGCTATTGGCGTCAAGTGCAAGTTTGCGTTCACTCACTCCACCAGCACACTTCGATAGACAAATTGGCTTCGGTATTTATGCAAACTCTGGCCAAGAATGTAGCACACGTTTACAAATGCCATCGATTGTTGTCTTTGGGTAATGAATTTAGTGTTAGTATGTGGAATTATGGTGAAGTTTCATGTTTACAGTGCACTAACGGGAATAATAGCGTCGTAATACAATTGATGTAAGCCCTAATTTTTTATTATAGTATGCAAAGCTCGACTAGATGCGCTTTAAGACTCAATAGCTATTCAAAGTATATGTTTAAAGAACATATATTATGGGTTAATCGTAAGTAAACTGCGTAAAGATAATAAATTATCATATGTAAAATGAAACACTGTAGGCTACAAGCACTCTGCGCATTCTTCGAAGTTACTAGCTGTCTTCGATTCGCCAAGCGTTATAGCTTAAACGAAATACGTCGGTGATTAGAACACACGATTCTTTATGAAGATGAACACAATACGCGGCGGCAGCCAATTTCGACCACCATGACGATTTTTGGGATGGAGCTATTTTGAATTTTATCGCCGACCTGGGCGGCAAAAACGGCATTACCATATTAATAAAAGGTTATTTTCAGTAAAAGCCTTAAGAATTTTCCAAAAAAAATTTAAGAAAAGGTTTGCGTTGACAATATTTAGATTGTTTATGTTTGGTTTATCATTTATTGTGATATTTTTGAGCATGTAATACACACTAGCTGCGACGAAAATCGTCCGTATTGTGTTTTACATGGCGGCAACACGTCAACACTCGGCAAAAATTCGTCCGACGGCGGTGCCGAGTACGACGAATATTCGCCGTCGCTCGTATTGTGTTTAAGCTATTACTCTCCAGTGAATCGCACAAACTACTTCTATATCAGATACACAAACAAACAGACAGCACTTGTGGTGCAACCCTGCGCTAACATGTCTTCTGACGCATGCGCAGTAGTGTTAAGATGCTTTCTTAGTGGCGAAATTTTATATTTCGCGTTAAAAAATGTTGCTGTAACTAATTATTTAGGGTTTATATTAATTATTATTATTGCTTTTAAGTCTTATGTCTTCAAAATACAAGAAAAAAAGAATTTTTAACTTAATTTGTCATATGAACCATTCACAATAAAAAAAGTGAGCTAAAATATGCAAAACCAACTGGGCAACATTGAAGAAAGCGGTTATACCACTTTAATGAGGTATCTGATTACTCTTCTGCTTCAATTTAACTCGATAACTTTGTTGTTGCTTTCAGATGTAAATTTTTTGATAAGAGCATAGAGAAATGATCAATCAAAGACAGCTACTAGCATATCTAAACCAGAGAATAATGTTAATGAATAGAGAAGGCGCAAATGTTAAAAAATACTAATTTGATATTTTCACAAGAGGGAATAACGAAAAATAGAACTTTGAAACTTTAGAAATACAACACGCAAAGACCGAAACGGGGAAAAGGCTATAAATAGACTTAAAGAATGTTCTTAAATGAATTATGCGCATGCTGACTTACATTTGCATATTAGTAGTAAAGTAATAATTGTTGTAATTTAAAATAATCCGTTGAATTATGTAAGAGGATTATTGGTTAAAGCCCCAGAATATGCAATAAAATTGGACTTCAACACATTTTTGTGGGTTGCATAAACAATTTCTAAAAGGCAAAGGATAAGAATAACATTCTCTGATTTTAGCTACCCTTTTGAAGGCAAAACTCGAGCTTATTGTATTATTATTCTCAATATACTTCGCATAATGCTCTTTGAATACATTTTTAAAGCATATGTGTAGGCGCATGTGATTTCACTGTTACAGTGCCGGCTACATATGTAGATATGTATGTAACTCGGAAGATTAATTTTCACAATTTCTCTGAATTGCATATTTCTTATGGGGTTTCTAGGGTTTCACGGCTTCAAAAAACAAAATTTTTTTAAATTGTGTTTTTTTTTTTTAATTCTATAACATCTCTAGAATATTGTCATAAATTCTCAAGTTGATACCAGTAATAGTTTTGGAGATACAGCTTTGAAAAGTAGCGCGCTGGAGGTCAGCTATATCGTTGGTTAAAACTTTAAACGCGTTTTTCTCGAAACTGTGTTTTCAAAGTCGGTTGTCAAGATTTTGACGCGAACTCTCAACCGATCTTAATGAAATTTTACACAGATCTTCCAGATATACTTTACAAGGTCTTGAATTCAAGTACAGTTATCTTCTTTCAATTACAATTCAATACCTAGTTAATGGTCTTAGTTCAAACACATATTTTTTTCTTTCACTTTTGATGATCCTGTCAGAAGTTCTGCTGTCAACACGGAAGCACCTTTTTTCCGAGGGACTGGGAAATGACGCCGTAATGACCAAGTTTTAAACAGTTTCTTTTGAAAATTTTACAAAATCTTTATCAAAAATATATCGTCAGTAAAATATAAAGCTTGAATAATATATTTGATTTTTTATATGAAAAAAAAAATTATTGAAAATAGGGTGTTTTTTGCTCGACGAAACCCATGTAACCCCTTAATTACTAGAAAAAAATGTGTACTTATAAATAAATCTTTTTGAGCAATGCACCGGAGTACTCTTTGCTTACATTTTAATACTACTTAATGACCCCATCACAATATATTATATATTTTTGGAATGCGAAATATGCATATTCCGCTTGCAATATTCCTACTTGCGAGTTAAATGAGTAAGTGCAATTCTTTTCCACTTGAACTCAAATCCTTTCTTACTTGCAGCACTAAGGAATTCATTTCCATGGCAACATCTACTGCTCGCCTCAAGAATGCTTGCTTTTACTGCCAGTACTGCGCTCACATAAATCTCACATACATACAGACATTTTCTTGCATTTCTTCAATATCATTTGCATTCATATCGTTATAGGCCAATGCTGTGCAGCGTTTCTTCCTTTCGACTACTTATTAAACTAATGGCATCTGCTCCCAATTTCTGTATACGTACACTAAGCGCATATACTTGAGCTGAATATTCCAGCGAATCCTGTGTCATGTACTCATAGACAAGCAAATCCTTTCAAGATGTGCATACAAATTGCAAGGAATTTCAATCGCGAATCAATACGCTGAGCTGCAAACATGCACAAACACAAAACCGGTTGCAATGAATTGCAAAAACAAAACAAAGAAATAAAAATAAAACAAAAAGAAAAAGAAAAAAACAAGGAAAAACAATTTTCTTTGACCTTTTCCGATTCAACGGCAACAAATCGCGGTACAAGCCGCCCGACACGTACGAACGCTGCGCCGCAAGCGCGCAAGCTAGTGTTAAAGCTGACACACACACTTATACATATGCATTCATACACAGGCGTTGCATTTGGCACCAGAAGTTATGAAGCGGCATTCGTTTTACTCCTGCCACCGCTGTGTCACTCCTGCCCACTCGTGTGGCACTCGGCCGCACTTCAATTAAACTTTGGAACTACGCAAGTGAGCCCTCAATGACATACTCGACGCCGCGATTGCGATTGCGAGTGCAATATTTGACAGACAAGAGAGAAGACAACTGCAAAAACTACTAGCGAACGCGGCGGAATGTGTATGTGTGTGTATCTATGTATGCATGTATGTAGGTGGCTGTCGGTTAACGTTTGCGAATGGTGCGGGCGTACGGGGCGTATGAGTGACTGACAGCGCGATATTGCTGTGATTCACTGCTTCAGAAGTTTGTAATACATATGTTGCTGCCGATTGCAGTTGTGTGCTGTGCAAGTGAAAGAGGGTTAACAGTGACGTCATTATGAGTTCATGTACTTGTACCCACTCAAGCGCCGTTAGCAAGCAGTCAAGCAGTGCCATCGGATGGTATGTGTGTGGACGTTTGTGTTTATTATGCCTAGAGGGTGTCCCATTTAAATTTGCCCCAAAAACTATTTCGTCACAAGCAACAACAACTACACTTACACGTATTCACGTGTAAATACACTTGTTTACAAAGTTCCGTGCGCCAGTTAGTACAACAACTCGCACATAATTATGCGCAGACATGAAGGCACCACTATAATGACTACACACACACACACGAGAGCGCATAAACACATTTATATGTGTGCGCATGCTGTATCACATGGCGAGTCAAGCATGCTGGCGCAACATAATAGGCACCAAAGCACCAATATCAACACCATTTCGAGCGCTTACAGCAAACATCATCAAAAGCTATAAAAACAACAAAAATCAATAAAACCACAGACAATATGACGCTGTCGAAAAATAGTTACATAGTCACATAATGAAGCAAGAGCAGCATAGTGATAAAAATAACAATGCAACAACAAAAGTGGCAAATATGCCGAAATGGTTTGACTTTTATGTGTTAGGTATGCCATTAAATACATATACACATGTGTGTGTTTTGAACTTAAAAGTGACGTTAAAAATCAAAACTTGGAATTAGCTTAAATTTAGATGCTTTTTCCATAATTAAAAAAGTTAAAAGATACTTACAGCCAATTGGAATGACATTGTGATTTAGGAAATATTAATTTTAAAGAAATACATTGAATATTTAAGTGTAAAATAGATTAGAAACTGAAGTGTCAAAATATTAACAGTAAAGACGTCAACTAGTAAAAAAAATTATAACTAGTCTATTAGCAATTTAAAAATAAGAAAAAACGTTAACTTCGGTTGCACCGAAGCTATAATACCCTCAACAAGTACAAAGGCCCCTTACAAGAACTTGATTCCGAACGTTCAATTTGTATGGCAGCTATATGATATAGTGATCTGATCTGACCACTTTCTGTGGAGAATAATTTGTTGCCTTAAGCAATAACTCGTGCCTAATTTCGTGAAGATACCATGCAAGCACTTTACTCCGATCGTTCAGTTAATATGGCAGCTATATGCTATAGTCGTCCGATCTATACAATTTCTTCGGATATTAGATTAATGCCTTAAATAATAATACATGCCAAATTTCGTGAAGATAGCTCGTCAAATGAAAGAGTTTTCCATACAAGCACTTGATTCCGCTTGTTCAGTTTGTAATACCCTGTTCAGGGTATAATTATTTTATTAAAAATAAATGATATTCTGCAAGAAATACGTGTTTTTCACCGACTTATCTGTGAGCTACACAATGGGTGCTGAGCTCTTCTTTGGCAGAGCTTTGTGCTGTCACTTAGCTGTAATCGAACTTGAACTTTTGAAACACTTGAAAAGCTTAACATTTTTCAGCTTGTCTGAATATACCTATTATCCATATTGCTGCGCATAAAACGAACTAATTTAGTTCTCATCTCAAAAGGTTCTTAGAATTTGTAAATATATTTCTTACTCATAACGAAAATTGCAACAAGAAATTGTTCAATAAAAGAAAAACTACTTACTACAGTAGGAAAAGGCAAATTACGAAATGGGGGAAAATATTTTCAGGTAAGAATTTCCATTTATGCAAACAGTTATGATGGTACACAATTGAACGAACACCCCGCCTATGCATACAAACCCACTACCACCAACCAACAAGCAGCTGACATATCTACGCGTTGCATCACCTTCGATAAATGATGTTTCTGCCTTTGCCACATCCATCGAATCTTCAACGTTTTACTGAAAACATCAACACTCGCTCACTCAATACCCTCTTGCCACCCTTTCTGTTCATTGCGTTCGTCATTGATGACTTTGCTTTTGTTTGCATTTAATTGCATTGCTGAGGACATTGCTATTGCTGTTTTGACATTTCGCTGCAGGCGAGTTCAATATATTTTACCGTGTCCCAAATGACTTGCAAAATGAATAACAAAAAAAAAAAAAAAAAAAACAGCAACTATAGTAACGAAACAAAGCAGCAGCATCTGTGGCAGCTGGAAGCTGTCGTACGCAAAGCACATGTTGCCAGCTGCAACGTGCAACAATGCGCAACACATTGTGATCACAAAGCGTGGGTTAACAACAACATGTGTTGCTTGCAGCTGTTGCTGCCTTCTTTTAATTGTAGTCAACTTAGTTGATTTTGTTTGCGAGAAAAATTGTTTTAAAATAGAAAAATTAACGAGTTTTTTATTAAAAGAAAAATAAAATTAGTAGTATAGTGTTGTTGGCAGCAGCGACCACTTAGTACGTTATAACTGAGCCGAACTAATCGCTCGTTTAACATTACTCTTCTGTTATTGCATATTTTATACTGTGTTACACATTTCCTTTTCCTTTCTCGTTGCTGCAAGTGCTCGTTGCTTCAACAAAGCTTTCCACCACTATGTTTCGCTTGGCACGTTCCTTGGTGCTCTGAGCCATACTGATACACTCTCTCCTTTCATAATTACACTCTGGCTCTCTTTTCACCTGTGCGTTACTAGTGGGTAGAGACGCCCGTTTTGAATTCACTTTCGAACGATTACAAGTGTTTTGAAATGACGATTGTTTAAGAGGGGGGCGTTAACGCTTGAAATCAAAGTTGTACATTTTTCAATTGAATAAAACACTTTTGCTAAGAGCTGGAGTTTGTGAGACAAAGCTATTCCGGATTTGGTTTCTATACTAAAATAAATATATTCCCATCGATTCGTTCGATTATATGTGGTACAAGCGTTTAACTATCTTATGTTTCAGAAAGATTTGTTGCCTCCGAGATAACTTTTTTCATACAACTTAACAAAAGAGAACACATTTTATTCACTAATATAATATTTAGATTGAAGTGAATTTATACAAGGTGCAATTCAATAGTTTCAGGTTTTTTATTAAAAAACGATGAGTCTCCTTCCGCTTGAATACAACGTTTTGCACGTTTAAGAAGGTTATCGAATGACTTTTTTAGGTCATTTGTCGGTATAGCGCTGAGGATGGCGGTCGTCGTCTTTTGGATGGCATCAACGTCAGCATAGCGGTTTCCTTTCATGTATTATTCATGTTGTAGTCTAAACAGGCAACTCTCTTTTCATCAGCAGCCTTCTTCCTGGGTCTTGCTGCGTTAGGAATTGATTTACGTGCTCCATGTAATTAAGCAACTGTAATTGTTTATGTTAGCTCACAGCCCTGATTTTTTACAGTGTACCCCCGCACGACACAATTCAAATGGAAAGCGACTTCTTACAAATAGCATTTTAACAAATCCGAAATAGTAGCAATTCGTACAAGTGACTGGCAGACAAACGGGCAGACAGGCATGCAGACGGCGAGGGCCCATTGAGCACCACACAAGAATCCACGAAGAAACAACGACTGCCTCGCACAGCGCTCAAACAAGCCGAAGTGACGAATGTGTAAAGCTTTTTCTCGGCCTGAACTCGAAACACGATATGGCCAAAGTAGTTGGAGTGGAGGAGCCTAACCGTTAAGACACGCACGCGAAACTCGGCGAACAAATTTTTGATGCAGAAAAACTATGTGTTTGGAAAAAATTGAAAATCAAGATGCAAATGTGTGCTCATGTGCCAGTAGAAGAATAAAAAGTGCAAATTGAAAAGTCAAGCAATAATAAATTCAATAAATCAATGTTAAATCACACGAAAAGTGTGCAATGGAAGCATTAAAAAACGAGAAAACGAGTCACGACGGGCGAGCAAACGTATGAAAAAGGACATTCATGAGCGCGAGGACGCAACGCAGGCAATAAAAATTGTGATAGAAGTTAAAGAGGAATAGATACAAATTCTATCAGCAAACAGCAAGCAGTAGGTAGTCACCACGACCATCGAAAGCGAAAAGAAGAACAAAAAGAAGTAAGCTTGTTAAAAGAGTGCTGTAAGAAGTGTAAAAACTATAGGCGGGCGGAGGTGCTCGTAGAGGCAGCAATAGAACGAGCACGTGAACGAGGGGCCCGAGAAGCGGCGGTAGGCAGCGAGAGGTACTAGTATGTGGTACTGCGCGCTGGAGGAATACACCAGCTGAAACAAAGCTATGGAGGCGCAGTGCCTGCTGCGAGGCGACACAACGTCTCTACTCCGTGCAAACCCTTCGGCACAAACTAAAGCGAAGACACGTTTGTAATGTTCACGTAGAATGGGCAACGCAAGGTAATGACCCAAAAATGAAGGAAATTAATAGGCAAATGCAAATTTGCAGAAAAAGACGGGAGTAAGCGTGAAGGTGAAGGATATTTGTAATTTTCGGAAAGTCATGAAAATGTCAGCATGAAAGTTACGTTGCATGAATTTCGGAAAAAATCATAAAAAAATACTTTTATCGCGTTGGAATGAGAATATCACATGAGTGAATAGGACAGAAGTGAGCTTTTCGTGCAAACGAGGCATATTTTTAGGAGCTTATGGTGAAAGTTATGCCTGAGTAAAGCGAGAATACGAAAAACGCCAGTTGTAAAAGCAATAAAATGTCAAATTATTACTATTGACATACAAAAAAACAAAAGCAACAAAGTGAAAGTACCTTAGCTTCATCGAATATAGGCACATACACGCGCGCACACACATTCCCAATCATTTAATTGCTTACTCGCTGAGTAACCTTGAATGTGCAGTGGGGGAGCGCTGTGTTGAATGCGAACACGCCGTGCGCCATTTGGCGGGGCAGATTCTAGGAGAGCGTGAAACAGCGCATTAAAATATGTTGTAATAAAACAACAAAAAAAACTTTGAAACCCGAAAACAATACAAGTTATGGTGAATGCCACATGGCCAAATGCTTAACAAGGAGGCAGCCACATGCTTCGCAACGGTTGCAGCAGCTTGCCACTCCGTCATCACGGTAAACAGCAACAAGCAGCATCTTCCCAACGTCCATCAAACTCACTCCGATGACGCATGCCATCAGCAACAGTCTGCTGCAGAAGGTTATCTCGTTGCGTGAGGGCATATACGTTGCCAGTTGCTGTTCCCAGCGCCACTCCACAGCAGACGACCGCTCCGGTTGCAGTGCGAATGCCGAGTGCGCAAGCGAAAGACGTGACTTTGAAGTAGCTAAGCAGCTGAAGATCTTGCAAGAGTTAAGAGGCACGAATGCTGAACACACAAGCGAAGGTGTAGCAACAGCAACAACAACAAACATAACGTTCCACAAGGACTACAGGCAGCCTCGAAACAATACACAACAGCAACAGCAACTTGTATGCACTGGAAACACTACAAAAGCAGGCAACAAGGCTTTTAGCGAGCAGCGAGTATTTCTCAATGAGACTGTGGCCCAGCGTGTTGGCGTCATTTTGATTGACGAGTGCGTACGAATTTCTGAGCATATTGCTTACAAAAGTCTCGTGCTGTTGGTTATGCTCATGCTAGTTGTTGCAAATGCGACGAATAAGAGAGCAACGAGTGCGCTCGCAATGCTTGCAGGATATCGGTTTATGCAGCCAAATAGCGAAGCTGTCGTAGTGTATGTGGTGAATTTGAAATTGTCAAAAATAGCGAAACATAAAGGAAGTGATAAATACAGTTATAAAAAACAAAGCCAACAACACAAACAAAAGCAATGTGCAGTGAGAGGCAGATGAAAAAACGTGCAAGATGAGAGTGAAAAGTGGGCAAGAGCAAAAAGTTGAACAGAAGCAACATAAGAAGCAATATAGCAAACATATGCAAATTAAATAAAAAGTTGACGTAAAGCGTGAAAGTAAAATGAAAATTATGGCCAAAGCACAACATTGTGCAGGTGAAAGAGTTATCAAGAAATACAATAGTGTAGTGAATGTGAGGAAAAAATAGTGAAAAATGAAGAATTCATATATAAAAAAAAATAAATAACAAATATGTACAAAAAATACTAAAGTGAATTATAAATTTAAAGCATAAAGTTGATGATGTTGATATGAAGTGAAGTGGTCTCAGAGTCAGATAATTAAGCAAAATAAAAAGAAAAAATTAAACTTGGTAAAACAGTAAATGATTGCCAAGTGTACAAAGTAAATACTTGCAAAAAAAAAAAATATTATAAAATCTTACGCACGTGAAAACAAATAATAAGAATTACTTCAAATATATTTAAACGAAAACAAACGATTTTCCTTTCAACACTCGCCAAATGTTGCAACTACTCCTAACCTATGTATTTAACCTGCTGCCATTTCAAAACAATCCAAATAAACGTTTAATATAAACATATAAAAGCCAACAATAACAAGAAGCAACCTGAGTGCATACTAAAGAGGCAGCCATAAATATCTATTATTGCTGAAGATATTGCCAAAAAAATTTCAAATCTCACAAAAAAGCTACTGAATGCATTTGAAAAATATTTTACCAAATATTTCTGCGCTTCAAACATAGTTTGAGCAGCGCAAGAGAGTGTAAACCGTTAAAACTGGCATTGCGGCATTGAATTTCAAGGGTAGCGCTTTTCAAACAGAACCGAGATCTAAACGTCAAAACTTTCACTATCTTTTCAAACATTTTTCGTAGGCGCAAGCAACTGCAGCTACAAACGCCATTGGCGTACAGCCGTAGTTGGCAATCATCAGCGTCTTGTAGTTTGCTGTCGCCGCAGAGGTGTTAAATATTAAATTTACAAAATCAGGAAACGTGTCAGTCAACGAGCAGTGCATACCGTTGTTCAGCTGGCCGGTCAGCGCGACAGTTCGTTAAACATTGTTGCATTGGCTGGACACCGAGCGGTGACAGTTGACGCTGTATCGTTGTACGACACGTCCGTTATGCCAGCGAACGATGGCAAGAGGAAGTGAAGTCGGAAGGAAATAGGCAGGAAAGTAACACTTTGCATACCAAAGGCAGGCAACGGACGACAGCGCAATGCATGGCAGGACAACAACGATAAAAGTACTGAGACGGAAGAAGTGTAGCAAAAACACGACGATTGCAAAAATAACTGTAAACTGAACAACTGAACAACAAGCAAAACTGCACACTTGTGAGTCATGCGAATGTAAGTGCTGCCGCAAATACAACAAAACCAACAACTGCACGAGTAGTAAGACAAAGGAGATGAGTTTGAGATATTGCAATGCTTGTGAGTTAACTGTAACAACAATACTTGTAATAATTAAACGCTGCAACTACGTGCAAGCGCTGCCAGTTTAAATGACGACAGTGTAGCAAGCAAAGCGAGCATTCAACAAATTTAGAACACAAAGCGAAAAAGCAACTACTTTTGCAAGTTAAACGCCAAATGAAAACTTTCAGCAGCCAAGTGTCGTCGTCACAAGTTGGCGAAGTTTCAACAGAAAGTAGTAATAATAACAAACAACAACATTTTCGAAATGAAAGCAGCACAGATTTATACGGCATTTGTTGGAAAGTGTGTTGATCTAAAAGCAGATGCGAAAAAAAATATGCAAAAGTTATAAAAACAATGCAACAGCAAAAAAGTATAATGAAGCTTATAATAAAAATTAATGAAACTTAAGAGAATTGTGAGCAAATAAATTTTACAATTACTAATGCAAATACAAATATATTTAAAAAGGAATACTATAAAATAAAAAGCGTGATAAATACATAAATACAACAGCCGAAAAGTACCGAATTACATAAATCAAATACTTTTTGATAAAAAAATAAGGTGAGTGTGAAGTGAAAGAAAAAGTTTTAATATTTGTTATTTTTACGAGATAAATCAGATTATTCCTTGTTACATATATTATTACAACTGCCTTAAGATTATTAATATAATAATAGTTTACTGTAAACTTGCTTTAAAATGTTGCCATTCGTTAAAGCGGACTGTTTTAGGTCGAACTCAACTCAAAACTTTGATAGTAAATTTGTAACTTGAATGTAGATATAACAAGTAAGACAGCGCTAAGTTTGGGTGTAACCGAACATTTTATACTCTTGCAACTTGCAGGATTAAAACCAGATTAAAGCCGGTTAAATATCTGCAATTTATTAATTTTATACAATAAATATATGAGTCATACACCAGCCGACATAATTAGCATATTTTTTGTTGGAATAACGAAAGTCATTCTACATTGTGACCAGAAAGTTTCGGGAAATTGTAAATTAAACGAAAAACTTTGAATCTACATCAATATTTCTTTTGTTGCCTTCAAAATGTGCAACTTCTGAAGCGATACACATATGCCAACTCTTTTACCAATCATCGAAACATGCCTTGTCCGGGATCGACCTTCTGCTACCTTTGCGAATTTTCTTTTACGGCCTCAATCAAGTCGAAACGGGTTCCACGGAGTGGTAGCTTGAATTGTGGAAACAAAAAAAGTTGCATGATGCCAAATCCGGTGAATACGGTGGTTGATCGATGTGTTTGGTCTTAAAATCGTTCGCAACTATGATCTTTTTGCAAAAAATTCAGCTCTTTTGAAACAAGTCGAGCATTGACGCGTCTCAAACCCAAATTATCGGTCAAAATCAAACAAGCTGTTTCACGGCCGATGCTTAGCTTACGTGCTATCTCTCTAATACTCGCATGACGATTTTTTTGATGACAGTGGTAGACGTCGAAGGACGACCGGAACGAGGCATGTCTTCGACGGTTTCTCGACCATCCTTAAAGGCTTTGTATTAGTCGTAGACTTGGGTTTTCGTTAGAATAGAAAAACATTCAGCGTGGGCAGCTTAAATGACCATTTCCGGAAACTTTCTGTTCACAATGTATGTACGGTATAAAGTCAATCAGAAGTATGAAATTATTATATAAGGTATATGAGAGATAGGCGTAGTATAGAACCAATTTTATCTATTTTTGTCATTACCACATATTATTGATGATTTTCATTAAGGTACCTCACATACCAACACCAATATATGCGGAATAAGTCAACCGGATGTTTTAAAATCTTGGTATTAGTTATATGGCGGCTAGGGCAAGTTTTCAACCAATTTTATTCATTTTACGCACAAAGATACACTGTTATAAGGAAAATACGCTCTTTTAAATTCATTAAGATAACTCACATATTGACCGATATTTGCAGTATAATGGCAGCCGGAAGTTTGAAAATTTTTCTATTAGGTATATAGGGACTAGGGGATTTATTAATCCGATTCAACCCATTTTTGGCATATGCGCTAGATTCTCTCCAGGTTTCTATAATATAGCTCACAGATTGAGCGATATTTTAGGTAAAAAGTTCGCAGTTTGTATACTGGAAAGTGCAACATAGAAATGTCGGAATGATGCTACCTACCAAATTTGGTAGCAATCGGTCGTGGAGGTCCTGAGATATAGGTTTTCACCTAATTAAGAGCGGTACCACGCCCATCGTCAAATTTTGTCAGCGGTTACAATTAAGCCCTATCCTATGATGTCGGGTGAAAAATTGTATTCTTCTGACGCATAGTAGTAGTTTTTAACAGAACCGTTATATGGGCTGTGGGCGTGGATATCATCCGATTTCATTAAGTTTTACAATCTCTGTATGGTTATTTAAGGAATTTGTCCTGAGCGAATTTAGTTATAATAGCTTAAATTATTTAGAAGATATGTTCTTAAACCTCTTAGAGGGGGGAGCCAACACCATTTTTTTTAATTTTTAGCCCACAAGTGCCTCATACTACCAAATTACAATCTTCATTCATAGTTTTATATCTTTATTAAATGCTTAGTTATGGCTTTTGAGAAGAACTTTAGTTTGCGAACTCGTACTTACTTCTATGCCAAGGAACACGTGTACCAAGTTTCATTAGGATATTTCAATTTTTACTCAAATTATATGTTGCACAGAGGGACAGACAGATCGGATTTCAACTCGTCTCTTCATCCTGATCACTTATATATACATAACCCTATATCTATCTTGATTAGTTTTAGTTGATACAAATAACCGTTAAGTGAAGAAAACTTTTATATTCTGTAGCAACATGTTGCGAGAGTATACAAATTTGAGTAGTGCTATTTCTTGCTGAAAAGAGAAACTTTTCAACCAACCTGTATAAATTAATTGTGAAATGTTTGCTGTAGTTGAGAGATCACTAACCATTCACAATAGATTTTTGATTATTTGCGCGTTCTCACAGGTATGACGCAGAAATATAATATATCATATGAACTAATATTCTTAGTATTGTAGAAGTATCTGTTCTTACCCGCTAATGATAAACTTATATCGTAAGAATATACTATCTTTTCATAAATGGTTTTGAAGTAATCAAGCAAGTTGTTCCTTGTCACTTGGTAGTCTAGAAGTTTACATGGCCGCATTAAAAATCTTGCAGCTATTTCAGGAGTCCAGAAAATTTGAGTCTGAAAAAAGAAATGGAAAACAAGAATTATTTTTTGGGGATTTGAAGGCACTTACTGCTTAATGGCTAAATCTATTTTTCTAATACTTTAAACAAAATCCTGGGGGCTTATAATCGCGAAAATCTTACTAAAACAAATTGCTTTGTTGCGAAAGCTTCCGCAGAAAACCTTAGCGTATATCATTATAGTCTTTAATTCGATAATTATAGGCTACTTTTCGTCAGACTGTGCTTTTAACCTCAATGCTTCACTCCATTCACATAAAACTTAAACTTTATCGACAAAGCAAATTCTGCGAAAATTATTTATTACACACCAGCTTCAACCGGCTTCCCTGTTGTATAAATTTAACTTCTGCCACCAGACTCCATCGTGTAAACGAGTTTATAGATGAGCATTTACTTTATTTATGTGACAGCTGAAGGAAATAAACAGAAGGCACACCGACCGGTGAATTATGTGAACACCGAACAAAGACTATACATAATGAATATTCTATTATTTGCCCATATGTAAGTATGTATATATGTATGTATGTAATATACAAGTATGTGTATTGGTAAGCAGTGCAGCGCTATGCGGCGGACGTGTGTTGCACGTACACGCAGTTAAATATTCCTAGTGAAGCGACATATGGCATATGTCAGGCAATGCACACATACGTACACACTTACAAACATATATGTACATATACAAGTTTATGTCGATGTGAGTACGAAACCGACTTACCGTTGTTATTAGTTGGCATAATAGATGAAATGAGAATGCAAAGACAAATGGACATAAAAGCAAACGAATAATGCATAGACAGCACTCACACACACATACATACACACAAGTACCAACTCACCGACGACATTTGTTTGTAAAAATATTAACATTTGCAAATGTTTGCCAACACACAGGCAAATCGGTATAGCAGTCATGTGCAGGTGTGTGTGTGTGTGTGTCTCGTAGACACGTCGCATTCATTGCAAACGCTTGCTTGGCTGAGTGTCATTTCGCTACTGCGGCATTCGCCGACAGCCGGTGTAATAGCGCATTCATGCAGAGTGTGTGTCCATTGTAGTTGCATAAATGCGGGGGGTGAGAGGTGCGTGGGCAAAAATGCTAAAACAATGAAATAAGTAATGTTTGTGTGGAACCTCAATGTGCTTGTCCTATTTATGCGGCGTGTAGCTAACTGGCTCCATCACTTTGCAGACACACACACACAGACTGAAACACATAGACTCACACATACATGCAGCTATTTTGTATTTTTGCACGAATGTCCTTCGCATTCGTTGTTGGGTTGTGCACTGCGCTGTGACTTAATTATTCTTTCTTCGGAGCAAGTGTTTGTTGTTGATTTGTTTTGTTGTTATTGCAGTGGCGTTTATTTCATTGCGCGCCTACTTCTTTCAAAAAAACCTAAACTTAGACAATAAAATTAATTAACCAAACATTATACTGCATTGCACTTAACTTTTTCGACGTTAAACGACCTCATTTTGGCAAATCGTTGTTGGTTTGTATTCGTTGATAAACTCGATTTTCTACTACAGAAACCTTAATTAGTTAGTCTTGCTGTATTTTGTGCTTTATAAGTCCGTGGAAGCTCAACTGAGTGCTTACTGCTTAATAACCAACACATTATTACACACATACATAGATGCATGTGCGTTTGTGTAAACTACTAAATGGCTGAAATTCCTTAATTTCGTACGCTGCGTTTTCGGTTTTCCTTTAGTTCGTGTTGACATGCACTCTGTGCGACAATGAGGAGACATTCAAGGTCATTTGTTTTGGCTCCATAATTTCTTGCTGTGTGTCTGTAAAGTCAAGTCTGAGGCGCGTGAATTTACATAATTCATCGGAAAACCAAAATCGCAAGCAAAAACCAAATTGCAATCAAGCCCATTTAACTTCGTAAGTGAGAGCAAGTCGCTATAGACTTATTTTCTTTATAAATTTATTTAACATAAAAAACTTGAACATTTTAATTTCAGCATTATTTAGATAATTTAAACAAAATATTTAAGTAAAGTTCAAATATGATAAGAAAAATAATTATACGCTTTAGCGCACATAACCTCAAAGATAAAAGCTTAGAAAGAGTCTCTCTTTATCTCTACGTAATACACTTTTCAAAGTTCTGTCGTAAAAATACTCATTAAATTCGTCGTAAAAGAGCAATTATACTTGAAGAAAACGAAGCCAAGGCAGCAAATCTTCAACTCTAATAATCAAACATAACTTTGTTCAGTCTCATTTCGACGATTATATTTAATTGGATTCAACTCCCCCCCCTTTACATTGTTAAAGTTACATGTATAAACTAATAAGTTAAGGCTATTAACGCAACCATTTTG